CCTCCCACACCCCCAGCCCCCCATAAACCTCTACCACCCCCCACGCCCCTACCTCCGCAATGTACCAGATTAATTCTTCATGTTATGCTATGGTGCACTCTGCACAAACACATGCAAGTCAGGACAAAAATAGTTTTTTAAATCAAATTAATGAATGTTATAGATGTTCAATTTTTAGAATAGAATCTGGCATTTTTCTGGTTCCAAACTGGCAAAACCCCTTACTGATAGGAGTACTTTTAGGGGAAGGTGAGGGACTTCTGGTGGCAAATTTGGGGGCTAGGGGGCAGGAGTTCTGGTCCCAAGATGGGACCAGGGGGCGGGGCTCCTGCCAAGGGGCAGGGCTACCCATGTGGCCATCCACAGCTTGCCAGAACTCAGTAAGTGGCTCTTCACCCAATGTAAGTGCTTGTCGCAGCCCTGGTGCCCAAACCTGCCTTGCCCCCCAGCTCCGCCACACCCCGCCGGGCAATGCCAGGCCGGTGCCACTCCATCCCCCCCCGCCACCCCCTGGCTCAGGCCGATCCCCCCGCTCAGACACTCAGGCCCAGGCTCGGCATTACTAAAATTACTTTATTACAGTTGCTTTTTTATTGTTTTTTTTTTCCTTTTTGAACAGGCCCTTTGCTCGGGGCAAAGGAGACTTACAAACAGAAGAGTACATGGGACCTCGTGTTCGCGTCTCTTATGTTCTGACCACTTGGGAACAGCTTGAAATGCACAATCCATACAATTAATACAGGTTACACAGGCGCTAGCACGGGCGCAGAACCAGAAGACCAGGATGCTGGCAGCAGACGGCACGACAAGCCGCACCGCGTGGTGCTTGTGGCAGCTTCTACCCCTGGGGGAAGGCACCGACTGGGGCATCCCCCACGCCTGCTGGGGCTCAGGAGTGCAGGGAGGCCTCCAGGTCCATGGTTTCACACTCCGCAATCCCCTCACAACAGGAACCAGAGCCCAGCCTGCAGTTTAGAGCGTGCATGTGCGTGTTTCTAGAGAGCGTGACAGCTCCGGAGCGATGCCCACCCCTGCATGCCTGCTGCCCTGCCGTACTACCTCCCCAGCACACAAGTAAAGCACTCAGGACAGAGCCTGAGGCCGTCTCCTGGCCCCACTCTTGGCCGTGAGCTGCTCGTTTGTCAGGGCAGGGGCAGGAGGGGGGAAAGAAGCAGTTTGAGCATCTTATGGCACGTGCTGGCTGCAGCCCTGGCACAAAGCCCCCGTCCCTGTCCGTCGCAGGGCTGAGGGCTGCACTGGAGGGTGCCTGCAGGCGACTTTGGGCTGCCCCCTCTCTAGGCATAGGCACAGGTGGCTCTCCCCTTCTCCGAGGCCTCCGCTGCACGGGAAAGGTTATGTTAAAAAGCAGCCAGGACCTGGCATTTGCACAGAAGCTGCATATGGAAAAGTAGCTCCCCCCTCCTATTCCTGCACCCAAAATGGTGGAAGGGAAAAAAGAAATACCGGTTTGAGGGCACTGTGTTGAAGGTCCACAATGTCTTTGCAAAAAGGGGGGGGGAAGAAACCCAGAACAAAATGCAGGAACATGCTGGGAAGAGTGGAACCAGGGGCAAGGGGTGCATAAAATGAACCACAGCCATAGGGTGGGCGGCTGGGAGGCAAGAGCACACGGGGCTGCCAGAGGAAGCGCATGGTCCCACGACCCCAAATCCAGCAAGGAGGGTGCTGGGCTCATGCGGGCAGGTAAGACTCACGCTGGCCTTGAAAACCTTCGCCCTGCAAATGGTTCCCCCCCGCTGGCTCTCCCTCGGCCAGGCCCAGGGCTCCCACAGCCACAGCGCTCGTGTGCATCCATCGGTTGCAGAATCACTCGCCTTCTGTTTCACACGGGTTAATAATTTCCACGGAATCACAGACAGGACTTTAGCAATCCGAGTGTTAATAACAACCCCGTAAGCATTTACAATGTACCAAGCTGACGTCGCCTTACGGTTTGTGTTGTGTGTCCTACATATGGTTTTTAATGTTCATTATTTACATCATAGCCCCCCCCAATTAGCTGTATACGCGGCCCTGCAACAAGTACGGAGCAGAGCGGGGAGGAGACGCAGGAGGGCCGAAGGCAGGAGGCAGGCTGCTCCAGCTGCCAACTCTCCAGATGACATCCTCTGGGATGCTGCGGCACGCGGAAGAGTTCCCCCCGCCCAGGGCTACTCTCTCTCAAGTGACGGGCCTTGCCAGCGGCTCTGAAACTCCTCCTCTGCTTGCTTACCTCTAGGACGCGCTCGGCAAAGCTATTCTAGGCTGCAGATGAGCCTCTGCTGCACGGCAGAGAGGAGGTGGCACAGCCAGCTCGCTGCTTTCTTAGGAAGTGCAAGGAAAACCCCCTCTAATTCAGCGATGGGCATTGGAAACATGCCCCCGTGCAAACCAGCAGGAGCAGCCACACATCTGTCGGCTGACAGAGCCACGCGGGGGCTGGAGAAGCCCTGGGGAAGACTACCCGCTGGCCTCAGACCACACGCTGCCAACGGGATGCTGCCACCCCTTGCCAGGGCCTGCGATCATGCAGAACACGCCTCCAAAGCCTGCGACTGGCTCCCACCAAGCACGATGCCCAAAGTGGCAATATTCCCTGCCCGCCTTGGGCTCCTCAACAACCATGCACGGCTCTCCACGCTCCGCAGAGCTCGGAGTTGCCATAGAAATGGGCGATCCGGGCACTACAAGCAGGGAACCATCTCAACAACACGCGCCTCGTCTCTGGCAGGTTGATGAACTCCGCGTCGCCCAGAGCTGAAAGAAAACCCTTTGGAGAGGGGAAATACGCTGCTTCTCCCGTGTCCTCCTGGGCGCAGAAGCAAAAGAGCAAGGAACCGGACTCTGGGTAAGCCAAGGTCAGCCCATGAGAAAGCTCATCCTCCTCAGACTGCGTGGTGGCAGCTGCATTTGAAATGCAAGGCAGAGGTTCACTAACGGGACCTGAAGCACCCCTGCACTAGACACAGCTTGACGCCACTCTGGGTTCTGCTTCCCAGGCTCCGGCTCTTGGCTAGCTGGCACGTCCAGCCTCTATACGCTTCAGTACAAAAACTTGGACAATCCCGCGCCTGGGTCCATGTGTTAGCTACATATTTACAGGAGTCCCCACTCGCAATCCCGGAGGTGACTGCCTGGGGAAATGCAAGCTGTGCATGCTTGGAGGTCCCCGTACGCTGGGGGCAAGGCCAAGGCTGGAAGGTGCCCCTGGCTCAGTTCACATAGTGCAATGGCACTGCCCGCCTCTCCTTGGCAGGCTCCCTCCGGCTTCCCGTGCGACTGAGGGAAGCGGGCAGAGGGGCCATGCCGGGTGCCACTGGCATATAGGACAGCTGATGGGTGCCGGCTAACGGCCACATAGCAAACAGCTTTTCCACCCCCCAGGAGAGGTTTCAGGTGAAATGCGGGTCCTGATCCCCCACAGCCGGCGGGCAAGGTGCTTTGCTGGCACGTGTCTTTCATACCCAACCCCTGCTCCAGCATCCTGCAGAGGCTTGGGAAAACGGGGCATCACCGGAGCTGGGAAAGAGCCTTGAGGGCCCAACTGGCCGCGTTGTTGGGCCCTCACAACAGGACGCGGGGTTATTAGATCTCGCCCTCCTCTCTTTTGGAGTCACGGCTACTACAGCCACTAGGTCAGTGGGCTTCGCCCCGGCGGTTGCTGCCCTGCGCCCTACCCACAGCCGCGCAAACCTCTCCCAGGCACTCCCCACTGCAGCGAGTCACCAAAGTGCACACGGAAACGAACACAGCAAGACAGGCAGCAATCAGCAGTCCTTGCTCGCAGGGCGCCAGCCCTTCGGCACGCAACACCCTCCTCTACCCTCACCACCCGGCTGGGGGGTCCGGCCCCAGGGGAGTTTACGCGGCAGGTGTGGAAGGACAGACCCTTTGTCTGAAAGAGCAGCCAAGTCAAATCCACGCTCCAATGTCTGCTGCAAAGCGCACTGGAGGCACCCAAGCAGGGAGGCTAGGGAAACTGGCCCCAGCACTGATCGCCCCATGGAAACCAGCCTGTGGCATGGAAGCAGGGCAGGACCGGAGCACCAGGGCAAAGCACGC